GTCGTTGCCTACAGAATTTAAATTATCGGAATAAAAGTTAATTCTCGACTTCCTATTAGCAATTTTCACAATTTTTCCTAAAAATGCTAGAAGTCCATCAAATTTATGGCTTTTAGTTTTACGGCGCTGTTTAAGCAACTTTTCCTTGTATATAATTATATTTTGAAGGTTTTCATTAATCCAAGGAGCAATTTTAAACCTTAGCAACTCTTTACATTTTCTCTCAGAAGTAGCGTCCTCAACTACCTCAGTGATTGTTGAAATAACTTTCTCAGCGTAATCGGTTGTATTCTCATCTATACTTAATGACAAATTTTTTTCTCGTAAAGACGTTCTTACTCTATTATAGTCACAAAAGAGTTTTACTTTTTCAGTATACTCATGTGGCTTAAAACTGCTTCTAATTTTACAAGAAATTATATTGTGATCGGTTAAATGGCATTCAACAGAATCAGTAACAATGCAATTAAAAATATTGCTAAAGACATGATCAATACATGCAAGACCTTCGAGTATTGTTACAAGATCATGACAACTATGACAATCAAAATTCAAAAATAATTCTTTTAAATCATTAAAATGACTACTACGAGTCAAGTCTATGTTAGAATCACCAAGAACTATTAACGGACCATATGCTAGATTACTTATGGGCTCTTCAATTACAGACAAAAAATTTTCAACAGAGCATTTCTGTGAACGGTAGTAGGTCATCAACTTTAAAGGTTTATTATTAATTTTTAAGTTCCCTAGTGAAATAGCTATATATTGAACAAAATTTTCAGATTTACAAAATTCTATAGAAAACTTTAAATATTCACTGATGTACAATGAAGTACCACCGTAACCATCCTCTCTACAGCAGTGAACGCACGAGTAACCTGGAATGTTATAAAGCTGTAATAATTCATTCTGAAACCATGTTTCTTGAATCGCAATAATATTTGGTAGCTGTGACATATTAAAGATGAGTGATTTAAATTTATTAAACTTTACTAATGAAGAAACGCTCCTTATGTTTACAGAAATTATGTTAAAAAAAAAAAGCTAAAAGGTAAATTTAAAATTCTTGCATTAAACTTGGAAAAATCTTGAAAGTACTGATTGCTTAACATTAAAGAATAAGAAAAAGAAAATATACTTAATCAAACAAAAGAAATGGTAAGCAAATGACCGTCTCGAAGACCGGAAAAACGGCGAAAGCTGGGCTAGGGTCTCGTTGAAAATAGTTTTTGGAAATCTATATAACTCTATAAAACGCTCCTCGCTTATCTCAAATGGATTTTATGAGTTTTGCGCTCGGTGTACACTTTGCATTTTCTCACTGTTACAGAATCCAGCCCCTGGATCCACATTTCTAGCAGTGCCCCATCAGAAGGAAAACGAAAAAACTGAAAACCTTCGGGGTAGTACTGTTATCTCTAGCACAAGTTTTTACTGCGCACCTCATTATTTAAAACAAATTGGGGGATATATTAAAGTATTTAATAAAACTCTCGAAATTTCTGTACTTGCTGATTTTACACACACAAGGATGTTTACCAACAATAGTAAGTAAATAAACTGCTGTCTTCTCTACTGTGACGTCACCAACACAGCTGATTCTGTAAAAATCACTGAGAGCCAAGTAGCGGTATCGCCATCGGCGCCACCTTCTGTATTCTCTCCACCGTGAGATGCAGAGCATTAAGACTGCTGTGGAATCGACGTGTGAGGCGATTGCTTCTCTCAAAGCTGAGGTGCTAGCGCTGAAAAGGGAGTCGGCTCGGTATGAAAACGAAACCGTTGCTACTGACTTGATCATCAACGGCATACCTAACGCTGTGAATAACAGTTGTGTGGAGATTTTCTCTAACATCTGCAGCGCAGTACAACATGAGATGCCAGCAGTTAGAGAAATATTTCGAGTGTCTGCTACGAAACAAAACAGCGACAACTCATCTTCACCTATTGTTGTTAAGCTGCATTCCTCTTAAGAGCGAAATACACCACACAAGCGGTTTGACAAACCAAGCGAAATTTCCCTTTGCTTCAAGCCATTTGTGCTGTGTATGGGGGTGTTTGAAGGTTTGACAAACCGCTTGAGGGAAATTTGAGCAAAAATCAAAATTTTTTGATTTTCTGGCCGCCATGTTGATGTTTGATCAAACCGCTTGCGTTGTGTATAGCAAAATCGCCTCATTCGCAACGAAATTTTCACCGAGTAAGGACGTGAGAGGAAAATGAAAGAAAACCATAATATTTAGCATTGCGAACTTGAAGAAAACTAAAATTCTTTGCTTGAACGAGTCATGTTTGCATGGTGTATGGCGAAATGGGAAAAGTAGGTTTGAAGAATGTTTGACAAGCTGCTTGTGTGGTGTATTTCGCTCTTTATGCGCGCAGCAGACTCTTCAAATCAATAGCAGTAACCAAGCAAACAAAAGAGCTCTTGCATTAAATTACATTGCTGGGGAAGGTACTTCAAGCACCCACATACATGAAAACCTTTCGAGAGCGAACCGTGAGATTATGCACTATGCCGCCCAACTCAGACGTCAAAAACATCTCTCTGCTACATTTTCAACACGCGGTGAGCACGGTTGCCATTTCCAATTTATTTTTTGGACCAAAAAATGGACCAAATGATAAAAAATTTACAATTTTTTATTACACCGGGAAAATTTCTTTACCAAGAAAATATGCCAACTCAGTTTTAATAAATATTTTTTTTATATTGCATCCAAAGTGCATTACAATTGTATATTATTAACATATTAATTAAAGTTTTAAAATAGAATTTGTTTCTTCGGCAGGCCATGACAAACCTCTGAGTGTATTTCTGCCATGAAAAACAGCTTCTCATTAAAATACAATCGCCGTTCGGAGTCGGCGTAAAACTGTAATAGTGATTTCATTTCTTCCAAAATATGTTGCCCTTCCCCGGTGCAAAATGGGTTTGATGTTACACTCAACCCTGTAAAAGGACATGTTTTTGCCTCCTTGTTCTTGTCCTTGTCCAGCTCACGAGCTTCATAATGTCGTTTTAAACAACCATCTAATTTTCAGGGCTACCGTCTCCCCTGTCAAAGCTTCACAGGGTAGATAATTAGCCTTTTTTGCTATTTTAAGAAACGAACACAAAATTTTCTCACCCTTTGCCTTTGATTTAGAATCAAAATCGAAAAGAGAAAGAGGCAATCAAAAGGCGACATTTTTTGGTAGAAACGAAATCACCATAAGTATTTCCCCTTTGTGTGACAAACATCAAGGCGCACGCCATAAATCGAGGAGTAGGTCGGCCATACACTAACATATGTGTAAGCGCCAATCTATTACTTGATCCCAAAAACGTTCTATATTGGTACAGTTTTTGAAGTTACCTTTACTCAGCCTCAATGTGCGAAATTGAAATTCAATTATGTCTGCACCATTTACCAATGCAGGAAATTGGTCGTGTAGCGGCAAAATTGATACATCAGTATCAGAAAAACTTTATTTGGTGTAATAATTTCAAGATGTTTAATATCTTTTCGATTGAAATCGAATATTATTTTCATGTGCTAAATGCTATTTTTTCTTAACAGCGGTCGTCTCTCGGCAGGCAATGGCAAACCTCCGAGTGTATTTCTGCCATGAAAAAAAGCTTCTCATAAAAATACAATCGCCGCTCGGAGTCGGCGTAAAACTGTAGGTCCCTCCGAGTTGTGTGACAACATCAAGGCGCACGCCACAAATCGGAGCGCCAATCTATTATTATTATTATAAATGCTATGATTTAAGTTTTGATACCTTTCCATATTTTTGCCAGCCACTTTAATATTGGTCACCGAGTTATTGAAATTAGCAAGAAACCGCGATATTTTTTGAAGAGTGCTTTGGCAAATGATTAGCCATGCCATATTTGAAGATCAGTGGCAAGGCGAGTTCACACTAGGGCTGATGATACCCGGGTACCCGGTTACCCGGGTATTACCCGGGGCTTTTATTACCCGGGTAGCCGGGTATTACCCGATTTGCCCGGGTACCCGGGTAATATACATATTTTGGTGCCGGTTAAATGGAAAACACCCGGGTAATGCGACATAAAGCTTCTTGTATAATCTTTTTGGTGAGGATAAATATTTTTTCAGTGAGAACATTTTTTTTTATAATTATTTTTTTATGTCTACTATGTACACCTAACCACTTGCCTGAGTAGACGGAGACAAGAAAAGTAAATTAAAACATTAGTTTCTGTACTTAAATTCAAACTTTTAATTTTTGTAAATGCATATACATACATGCATGTGTACATATGTATGTATGTATGTATATTTTAAAGAATATTAAATATTAATAAATTAAAACAGGGACTGAGAACGAAATGTATGATCGAAACTAAATGCCATTGTCGTAGTTTTGTTCCCAAGAACGCGTCAAAACCAAAACCAAAATGAGAACAAAACTGACGAGAACGTTCTCATTGGGAATTATATAAGAACTAAACCCTGTGGTAGGCCACTTCTGGTACAAAAAGTAAGGTAACAANCCCCCCCTTTAAGAATAGGTTTAAAAGCCTTGATCCAGATGTCAACCTTTCTTCTCAAACCAACCACTGCAAACGAATGAGGAACGACGATTTTACACCATTACCTGAAATCAAACAAAATGATGACCACATACAGCGCTATCTAATAGCAACTGCAATTGCATCAAAAAACGGCGAAGAAGTTCGACCTTTGTCATCTTACAATGTTTTTCAGATAGAAAAGGGCCTTAAACACATAAGTACAGAGTACACTGAAGTTACTGAGCTTAAATCAGGCGACTTGCTCATAAAAACCCGAAACCTAAAAGCAGCGGAAAAATTTCTCAAAGCCACTCATGTTGATATAGTACCCGTCAAAATTACATCGCACAAATACCTAAACTCAACACAGGGACGCATATTTTCTAGAAATATAATAAAACTTTCTGAAGAAGAATTAATGGAAGGATTAGCGTGCCAGAAAGTTATCGAAATTAGGAAAATAATGAAACTAACTAATAACGTAGCAACACCAACGGGAGCAGCGATTGTCACCTTCAATCTTATTCGTAGGCCAGAAAAGATTAATTTAGGATGGGAAAGAGTCACAGTCCAGGAATATATCCCCAACCCGATGAGGTGCAGAAATTGCCAAAAACTTGGGCATACGAAAAACACTTGTAAAAATATACAACTATGCAAACAATGTGCCTTTCCTCCTCCGCATGAAATTTGCTCACGTATTTTCTGCGCAAATTGCAATGTCAACACGCACACTTCCGAAGACCCAACTTGTCCCAGCTTCCTAAAGCACAAATCCGTAAACAAAATTAAAGCTGAACGCCGGTGTACTGTTCGTGAAGCCTGGAAAGTGTACAACAGCAATCCCACAGCATACCAAATTGAACCTAGGAATAGGCAAACAAGCAAGCCTTCATACGCACAAACTGCAAGAAACGACCAAACCACAGCAGTCGAACAAACACAGATAGAAAAAAGCAATTATATTTCTTCACAACCTTCAAACAACATTCAAAATCAAGATAAAACAAGATCACTCAAAAGCAACAATGAAATTCAAAACAAAACTAAACCACCTTCAAATAACATTCAAAAGAATACTTCTAACTCCAACTATGGACNCAAAATTAAAGCTGAACGCCGGTGTACTGTTCGTGAAGCCTGGAAAGTGTACAACAGCAATCCCACAGCATACCAAATTGAACCTAGGAATAGGCAAACAAGCAAGCTTTCATACGCACAAACTGCAAGAAACGACCAAACCACAGCCGTCGAACAAACACAGATCGAAAAAAGCAATCATATTTCTTCACATATTACCCAACCTTCAAACAACATTCAAAATCAAGATAAAACAAGATCACTCAAAAGCAACAATGAAATTCAAAACAAAACTAAACCACCTTCAAATAACATTCAAAAGAATACTTCTAACTCCAACTATGGACCTCAACTTACAACAACACTAGACCAATCAAATCAAAGCACATCAACAACAGCATCGAAAAGCAGCTCAAGCCCACCTAGAACAAAGAGCAACGAAAAAAATAACACACACACCCAAAGCTGTGACATGGAAATGTCGCCTTGCTCAGATATATACAACAAATACCCACATTTAAATGTCCTCATTTCGCCAAATACATACAAAAGAA